TTGTCAAAGTGGTACGTGTTGCAATCGGCGGAGCTGAAATCCCTGTCATGGAGAAAAAGAAAAGTGGGAAAGACGGCGCACATTAAAAACATATTTTGCAAGATATTTTGGTACAGTGAATGGGACCGCGAGATGCGGACGTAATTTACGCTTGGACCTTGTCCACATGTCGGGTCACGTTTTCCCATAGATTTCAATGCAAACAAATTTGATCGGTTCTCCCATTCAACAAAAAGCAGAAAATATGTCCCCAAAAATTGAATAAAAATTTTTTCTTTCAACTTAAAGATACAGAAAACAACTTTTCAAAAGAAAAATACGCATAATCTCATCTTTTAGCATCAAAAGGAGCTCAAAAAGCAAAGAACAAGAATAAGTCTTGCTATACTGTAATGGGCACAGATGATTGAAAAAAACTCTGAAAAAAAAGAAGTCCAAAATCAGCATGTTTTGCCTGTGAATTAGAGTAAATCTATCATGAAATGTATTTGTAATTTTAGTGCATTTAAATAGCAAAATTAGTTCAAGAGATATCAAACTTTAAAAAATTAAAATTAATCAGCAAGGTGTCAAGACATTGTCCGGAAGCCAGGGCACATTTTCTCGAGGTTCAAGTGTCCCTAAGTCAAATTGTCCGTATGTCGTCGTGTGCTCGCTGTACTGTGTGCAACCTTTGTTCTTGTCCCTATGAGTTCATGGTAAAAAATTCATTTCTATTGATTTTTAAAATTTCCTGATCTGTCATTTGACTGGTTGACACTCACAAAAAGAAGACTTGCTTCATAGAAGCGGGAGAAAAATAGAGCAAAATTTCATCACTTTATTTCCCAGGAAAAAAACATGCTTGAGTCAAATTGATTATAAATATTATTGAAGGAATAGCTTACGATGATGTGGATCCGACGCATTTCAGCGGATGCATGTACTTCATACAAGGTGTTCTGAGGACGTTCTCGAAAATGTCCTTGATTAGACCGGACACCCAGTCCAAGCCCGAGTTGGCATTCGTGTCCAGGCAGCGACGAAACTCGGTGTCGCAATCGCAGCTTGACCTGCGGAATTATGGGTCATTCAGCTGCCGGTAACATAGTCACAGGCAAAGAAAGACAAAAATTTTCTCAGCAAAAAGTTAATTCAATCAACTACAGGGGGTCCCAGCATAACGAAATTAATCTGACACAAGAGGATGAGTTCTGTTGCGCAAGAAGTATACGTCAAGAGAAATATGATCTTGCTCAAGTTTCAATTTCGAACATTTATTCAATTCCAGAAACTTGAAAGAAAATTTGAATCGAGCTTAAAAACATGAGCATTTTAGCAGGTCATTGGTGTACAATTATGAGAGTAAAATGGAAATAATCCTGGCAATTTTTGGCTTCTCAAGTAAACATGTCCCGTTTTTAATTTTTTTACTGCTACTTCGAAGTAAGATAGACTATTCGACCGTGAGAACATATTACAGTATTAAAAATGTCCTAAGGTTTCAATCCTTGCCTACTTACGTAGCTTTTTCCCCTCCCGCAAAAAATCTGGAAATGTTTCAGGCCAAAAGTAAGCATTTTCGAAAAAAATCAGGGTGCATCCAAAAATATGTAATACAATTGAAACTCAATAACTGGAACCTTTTTAAGTCGTGTACTTCATGTTAAACTTTCATTGGTGTATGTGTCTGAATTCCATAAAAGCAATGCATTAAACTCCCCTTCCTCCTAACTCCAGGGCTTTTCCTCTAAAATCCCTGTAACTCAAATTTTCCCAGGGCTTTTGGCTATTGTATTCTTGACACAGGACGAAAGAGAAAAGCAAAAAAAGTTATTTGAATTATTTTTTTAAGGAAGTGAAAGACTTAATGGGCAAATTAACCTCTGCTTCCAAGGTCAGCATCCTGTCAACTCATTCAAGAAGCAATTCAAGGTCCATGATATTACCATTTACAATTGCTTACAATTCTTCTGTGCTTCCCGCGACAAAAAATGCTATTGTATTAGAATGCAATGGTATTTCAAATGTAGTTTAACACATACAGGGTGTATCCAATCGGATTCTTGAGGTCGTAGGCTGAATTGTAAGCGAAGCTGTCCAGTGATTGTGGGCAATGATCGTGCGCCCGGCAACACATGTCAGCGAACTGCTCCTTTCCTAGGTCATTGTAATTTGCGGCGATCGTTCCTTCGCCGCACCATTTTGTATCTGAAAAAATGTGTACAATATAATTCACCAGTATTTAGAATCAGGTATAGATCATTTTGAACATATGTCCTTGGATTGCTTGATCATTTTACAGAAGCATGACGGAGTGTGAAGAACACAATCTATCCCGAAATTATGAGATGTTTCCCTTTCCCGTATTGAACGTTTGCTGCTCTTGTCTTTCAAATTTTCATTTCAATGCTCAGAAAAGTGAGCCAAGTTTTCAAAATGCCTGAAAAACCCGCTGTATACAGGACCACATCTTAATGCTGTATTTGGTCATCTTGGTGTTCATTCGTAATTAATTAAGGGAAAAAGAACCTGGGCTACTATTATCACTCACAATACGTTTCTGCTAGAATAATTTCACAGTTTCTCTTTTTTTTTTTTTTTGAGAGCCACTTCCTGAAATGAGTTTCGAAGGTGTAGCCGCTATAACCCTTCATGTCACAAGTTGATGACATTAGGAAAACTATCAAATACATCTCCGGTTCTCAGATTACCAGCGTATAGCACAGTTGGAGCCAGTCATTTGAACAATTCTGCTTTTGGACATGAAAAAAGTTTCTCAACATTTGAAAAAAAATTTAAGGCTGTGGACCCTGCTGATTACTCTTTCCAAAAAATCAAAACTTTGAGAAAACCCAAGCTTAGGTGGACTCTTTTATTACAACAATCTTGTCTAAACAGGGTTTGGACGATTTGACCCTAATCCATTGCTGGGTAAGGGACCTAAGGGTTGAATTGCAAGACAATGTCAAATTTGATGTTTTCTACATCATATTGGACTTTTTGAGTCCCTCTGCAGGTTAAAATTGTGGGGCAAGAGGTCTAATTGCAAGTCAACATCCTGGAAATTTTGATCATTGAATTGTGGGATGGTCAAATTGCAAGGTACCACCTCTACATGAAAATGAATTTTTGGTCACAGCTCTCCCCATATTTTGGGGCTCTCTACAATAATTTTTTTTCTGGTCCCTTGAATTCTGTTGTGAAGAGAGAGCTAATCCACCTGTGTGTGCATTTACAGTGCCCTTTGATACAAATTATCTAGTGTAAATGAATGATAGCTTGCCTTGTATTTATTAATTTTATTTTCCCCTTATACCATTAAGTCATGTAATTTTTGCGAGAATTGAAGAACCAAGAATGTTCAGAACAAAAAGTTTCTATATGGTAGGTTCCTAATTTTGTTTGCACTACGATTCTGAATTTTTGATTGAATAATACAGTATTTTCATGTCATCCAGGACATTTATAAATTTCAAAACCAACTGCAGAGCCTGTGTGGAAACTCTTTGAAGTGTGGGCAATGCACAGCAGGGGAAAAGTTATTCCCTAAATATATACAGTTGAACCTCTGGAATTGTAATTTCTAGGGACCAAGAAAAAAATTTGACTTACAGAGGCTTCAAGTTAGGGAGGTTTTGATTTATGGAGGTTTCCAGTTAAGGAAACCACTTTGTTGCAAGGAGAAGTGGAAAAAGTGTGGAAAATTGTAAATGAGGATATTCTGGGCGTAAACTTGCTCCTTAATGAGTTTACACTTTGCTGAACTTGAAGGTGAGGGTTCATTTGCTCTATTCGTCTTTCACTTCCTTTCACGATGCATCAAATCATTTGTTTTAATGATTTTCTCTTTCATATTTCAAGGAAATGATAACCGAACAGCCTCAGAAAATTTGACTTACAGAGGTTATAGGAAAAAGCCTTTGAATAAGGGAGGTTTTTAATGCACTGATTCCAGGCGAATTCATACAGGGACTTGGAAAAATTTTGACTTTGGGAGGAATTTGACTTGGGGAAGGACAAATCTCAAGGTTCAACCGTGATTGTATTTTTAATAAGACTTTAAAACAATGTATTAATTTACCTGGGAAGATGAGAGGGACGTTTGAGTCGTTGCTGCCGGGTGTGCCAAGAATGCTGCCCAGTGCAGTCGCAGACGACGCAATGTCTCGCAAGGACTCCTGACCGAATTGCACGGTTTGTCGCTTCCGTCGCACTTTCAGAGTGGTGCAAAAGTTGCGCTGAGCTTCCAGTGTTTCTTGCGACACGTCACTGATGACGACGATGATGGCCATCGGGGAGAAAAATTACGCAAAAAGGTTGAAAGTACCGTGCA